TACAGTATCGGTGTTTGGTTCTTCAGTTGATACTTTCGAGAAACACTTTTCCAGAAAAGTGTTGAAAATGCCGGCGTTCATCCTGGAGTGGTATTCATAAAATAGCATACCCATCGCAGAACAGCAAGCAACAAAATTAAGGTTTGCAACTTTGCTTGATAGTAAAGACAATTAATGGAAGATAACCTGGTTAACAGATTCGGGTGTATCAGTTTCATCTTCTTCTTTATCCCACTCAAAGTGATTGTAGGATTCTTCTCTACCAATGAGCGCAGTTCCATTACGAATTCACCGGGAAATTTACGTTTCGTAAACCCTCTTTTAAGGCTAGATTCGATGCTCGTTTAGCGATGGCTCTGTAGGTTTGTATGGTAATTCCAAGATGGTAAGAAATAAGTTGTAGATCTTCGCCTTTTCTTGCACACTGGACAGTTATTCTGTGGTCTTGATCATTAACTCTTCTCCGCTCATGACGCGAATTTGTATTCACCAGTTCGCTTAGGCCAATTATCACCATTTCATCCACCGGAAACTCTGCGGAAGCTGAAGCAATCATTCAGCTGGTTACTTGAAAAGTGACCGTGATCAAATGTGCATCAAGCACCCAGCCGTCCACGTGACTCACACAGGACCACCAAGTCCCGTAGCCGGGACCGATAACTCACGTAGGACGTGAGCTTATTTGATTTGGGTTTGTCGGGAAGGTTTGGATACTGTACCCTAGGTTGTGGTCGCGAAGTAACAGGCAGTGGCTGCTAAGCGGCTACTAAATGGCAGGTAAACCTGTAGATGTAGGTAGCCAAAGTAGTACAATGAGAACACTTCACGACTACCACGTAGATATTCCCTACCTCGGATGAGGTATCTTTGAGTATACATAAGGTTTGTGTGCCATTTGCCAATCTGAGTCATTTTTGATGTCGATATGATATCCATTTATCTATTAAGGGCCCAGTGTACGCTATAGCAGTCAGGCCAGGGCTTCGGTATGGTTCGGAGGCATGGCCACTGTGGATGGAGGATATCCGAAGATTGTTACTGGTTGGACACTGACTTCTTAGTAACATTGCTGGAACGTCGTGGGAACTCCGTATGAGCAGTGCTGAAGTTCGGCAGAGAGTTAGGTTCGCGAATCGAATCACTGGATAAAACACTCAAGCTCACTAGGCAAAAATAATTGGGAGATGTGTTGCACATGTCCGCTGATAGGATTCCTTGGCGCAATATTTGCTGAGGCGAGTGACGGTTGGAAGGCGAGTAAGGGTTATCAGTCCGTAACAGCGATGGAGAGTATGAAAAGTCTCACCAGTGTTAGACTTCCTGGTTGGTGTCCAAGAAACCCTCCTACTCTATGGTTAGATATATTGGAGGATATGGCTAGGCATCGCAATCAACGGTTTTCTTGTATCCACAATCTTTCTTCATCGACTTGATACCATTATTTGTAGTTCTCCTCTTGCTCCCTCCATACTTTCTTCTTTTTCATTATTTCCTTTTGAGGTTGCCGGTCGGAGATAGCAATCAAAGTCATCGTATTCAGTGCGGGTACTGGTTGTCTGGACTGAACTGAACTGAACTGATTTGTCATCACTGATGGACTAGCTCCATGAGCGTTTTCGATCTATATGAGATGTATAGTCATATCCGAGGAAGGGGGTGCGTTTATTCTGTTACCTATTGCCAAAAAAGAGACAAGGCAGTGTGCGCTAACCGCCAATGGATCAGTTCCACTAACATCGCTCCAAAGGTTTTTCTGCGTACTGTTACTCAGTCGCTTCTCAGTTGCAAGAGGTTCCCACATTTAATTGAAACGAGGGTTTTTGCCATGGGAGAGGCTGCGTGAACGAAACCTTCACATTGGGAGATCGCTACAAGTTCCGCATGCCAACTATAGCCTGATTTGTTGGTTTCTGAACTGCGTTTGACTCGGTCAGTTATGAATACCCATGGGGTATATTAGAATTCGATGGTGGTCCCACGAAACTCCCAAGGATCCTGAGGGCTTACTATGCTTTCACTATGGCACGTGTTCGACTATATTGTGTGTATTTTGCGCAAGGAATCCTGGAGTTCGACGAGGCTGACCTCTCTCACCGATGTGGTACAACTATGCAGTCGAATGTGCATTGAACTGAGCGTTAGTTGATTACCCCGGTGTCCAATTGAGTCCAACGGTGCACATCTCGGTCGTGGAGTTTGCGGATGATATTGTCGTGCTAGGAGGTTCTCCCGTCACGCTTCAGCCAGCCCTGAACCTACTCGATCACTTTGCGAAGACTGTTGGTCTCGAAGTTAGTGTGAAGTCTCGTCGACACAGTGAAATATTGTAGAGGTGTGTCCGATAGTAAATAAGATCAGAACATTAGTTTTGGGTGAGGTAACATTAACGGTGGCATATCAAATGAGAGACAATAACGATGAGACAGACACACGCGAGTTCGATGGACGCTGTAGTTCGCATTCCCCTTTTTATATATTTGTCTACGGTCGTCGAGCTTCTGCACACCATTCTTGCCATGTTAGTCCATTGATGACGCTGACTGCCTCCATCCGTACCCGGAAGTTGCACTGATTACGCAACGAGTTCCAGTCCTAAAGGCTGTTTTGGTACTCCGTTCATTCATGTACTCACGGAGTACGGGCCTTTGGTTTTTTTTCCGAGTCATATCCCTCAGCTTACTTTTACGTGACTATCTGCGAGAGGATACGTCGGCTACATGGATATTACGGACCTTTGCCGACCATGCGCGGCGGTCAAAGGCGAGCTAGGTGCTGATCGTGATCCAGTCCTTTTCCCATCACCGGACTCCATAGACGGACCAAAGACCTAGAAGCTCTACGTCTTTCTGTTGTACTGGTCCATGTTTTGAGCTGCCCACCAAGGCGACAACGTGAATCAGGACAAGGAGCAGGGCAGAGTGTTTGTTTGATCATCTCTGACTTGGGTCGCTGAAGGGTATGGCCGAACCACTGCGGTTGTCGACGTTGGAGGAGGACGGAGGGCACATCGACCTCAGACCATTTTGTCCTTACCACTTAGTTGGACACCCTGTCTTGCCAGTTGACTTTGAGGATTTGCCGCATGTGCCAGTGGTTGGAAATTTCCAGCCTCCTGGTATCTTCAGTTCGTTATGGTCAGGTTTCTTAGGCACAGAGGAGTACGGGGCGTATGGCTGCACGGTACACACCAACTTTGGTCCTTAAGCTGATTTCACTGCGAGTCCACAGCGTTCGTCTTAGCTGAAGGAAGGTTCTCCTTGTACTGTCAATCCGTGATATCACTTCATCTTTTGTTTGGCCGTTCGGAAGCAGAATTGAACCTAGGTATTTGAATGAAGGAACAAATTCTACTGGTCGGTCATTGATGAACAGTTGTTGAATTTTCGGGCCTAAATGGGTTGTGAACGCCTTTGTTTTGGTTCAATTCACTTCTAGTTCGGTCGACTTTGTGAAGAAATTGATTCGGCCGAGGATTAGTTGGAGCGAAGCGGGTTGGTCTCCTAGCACGACAATCTAATCCGCGAGCTCCAGGTCCGAGACGTATATTTCCTGGCTAAACTGAACGCCAGGGTAGTCGTGTAGTGTATGACCCATTGTCCAGTCAATGGCGTAGTTAAACAGCACCGGTGAGAAGAAACAGCCCATTATAACTCCGGTAGTGAGTGCGAACTCGCAGGATTCTTCGCCGTACATGCGAACCCTAGCACCAGTTGTCGAGTAGTACCCCTTTAGCTTATCGGGTATGCCATCGGATTGGGTTATGGTCCAAAGAGACTTGCAGTTAACCGAATCAAAGGCGGCCCGGAAGTCGATGAAACACGCTACCGTCGGCTGCTGGGACTTATGGTGGTGCTTTAATATTTGGCGCAGTGTGAAGATTCGATCCACACATTCTCTGCCACGGCGAAAACCCCCTTGGTTAGGGCCAGTGCGTAAGTCTCTTTCCTCGGAGAAACGGTTTAGTAACAGCGCTCTTAAGTTCTTTGCAGCGATGTCGATCAAGGTGATCCCTCGGTAGTTCTCACATGTCGATTCATCACCTTTTTCGGAAAGCACAGCAGAATAGACATGACCCAGTCCGGTGGGAATGCTTCATCTCGCCAAATGGAGCCAGAGAGTGTTCATAACTGATCAATCAATTACGGTGAACTCAATATCTGCAACCGACGTCAGTTGCCATCCTTTTAGGCCTGTGCCAAGTCATGGTCTGCCCGCTACGTCACTTCTTCTAGCTTTCCCCAGCATGTGGGAATAAAACACGTAAAGACAATCGATTGGAAGACATATGCAAGACGTGGCGGGGCCGACGGATCTGCCGGAATCAATGGACCAACTGGGAGTGTATTGTTTCACAAAACTGGTAGTGGCGGGATGATGAGTAAGGAAGATCAGTCCATAACGTGGAATAAAACCATGAAATGCCGGGCAAATATTGTTGACCATTTCAGAGGGGTCCGGGTAATCCACTCGCAGTGGGTGAAATATTATAGGATATTCCTAGGTGTCGCGACCAGTTACACTCCTGTATTGAAACACTTTATCTGCCCAATATCAACATCAGTCTAACAGTAATCATGGTGGGTTTCTGACCTTTTTGTTCCGGGTTGGAATTCTCGCGCCACCGCTGGTCACTTCCCAAATCAGCTGCAACCTCCTTTCCTGAAATATTGTACTATCACTATTATATAGTAAAAGGAAGCAAATAAAACAACAAAAGAATAAGTAATATTTCTGCTCTCCCTTTCTCAATACTTATGTTTTTTGACTACCCAGTAATTTTCAGCTTAGAAACAGCACACTCATAGTGCACGTTAAAACTGGGACGAAATTGAAATCACTAAGAAATCGTGAAGATTCAGAAAAATTCTTTCCTATGCAGGTTTTCCACGCTGTTTTTGATATTTTGTTTGTTCAGTTTTCATTTTTGCCATAGGGCGTTTGATTTTTTCCGCATGATACACTTTCAACTCATTGTATTCCTCACGCAATTTGTATTTCAGAACCCGTAAAACACGCTCGTCCATCGTAAGTTGCGTTCCCATTTTCGTGTTCTCTTTTGATTCTGATTCTGTTGCTACTATTTTCATCCCTATTTACACATCAACCCCATTTCAGTCAGACTAATGAGTGCAATGAAGCAGTCCACAGGTTGTTGTGAACCGAGGTAAATCAAATTGATACATACGCTTCGCAGCAGGCAAGTATAGTTCAATAGGTGTACATCTCCAGAATCGCAATTTGTAGTGAAATCGCGCAAATCCCAAAACCAGAACGAGATCGATTCGTAAAGTTCGATGGTGCCAGATAGAAAATCACGGAATGTACAATGATATGCTGACCTCAAGTATGTGGACAAAACGTCTTAAAAATAAAACCCAGACGCTTGATGACCACTGGTCCAAACACTACCGTCAAATCGGTTCAAGGCCGAATTCGTGTATCACACAACCAAAAACATGTGAACGTGTTGTGTTTATAAGTGCTCAACAAAATAATGTCGGATATGGTCGAATTCATCTGACATGTAGAAAATGTGGGAGGGTTTTCAAAATACATCCTCTACCATCAGTAGGAGCGAGAATCAGCTGGAGGAAATTTACGCCTATTGTGAATAAACTCAGCAGGTTGGTATATTTTACAGCTCCTGCGAGAAAAATCCGAGTAAAACAATAATTTGAAAAATATTTGCTTGACAGTATGTTATCCGCTGTCAAAGTATTAGTCGCTAACTTGGTAATGGTTCAGTCTTGTATAGTCACATTTGTCTCCTGAATTTGCGAGTATTTATTGGGTCTTATTACATTGTACCGGCGAATAACAGGTAATTGATTGCAGTGATTCACTGATTGCTATTTCTCAGCAACAATCTTGCTGGAATATGGAAATAATCATCAGCATAGAAACTCAGGGAAATACTATAAATAATGGTGTCATTTTGGCTGTTAAGTTGTGCAACTACAAGTGTCAATTTTCATGTAACGGAGTTTTATCTTACTGCATGTGACCACTGATTGAATGGATCTCGTGGTGGTGTAACCCACTGTGGAAACCCACTACGCTCTAGATGACCAAATGCATTGGTTCAGCTTTTAATACCTTCCTTCCATGGTACTGACTAACCACCTAATGGCCTTTATCCTATCAAGTTTGATATAGTCCCTGACAAATGGTATATTATTAATTTGCCAATCCAACGACCAATCCGACTGCGGGCCGAATCATTTTAGTTTTTGGTCTCATGATTGTAATAGTTTCATTCAAAAGACTTTATTGAGCTGTCAGATAGAGGATGAATGGAAATCACTTCAGTAACTGCAATTATTATTTACATGATCATTTACTTGTCTGGTGTAACTCTGGATATAATTTGTGTAAAATTATAATTGAGCAGTTCCCCGATCGTTTTGCTAAAGCGTATCAAGTCACTTTGGAGAATCTTAGACAAGTCAGGAAAATACTATTTGGCCTCAGTGTTCCTTTATCATTTTTGCCGGTTCTCTAGGGAAAGATTTTTTTTCACCTAGGAAAGGTTCATTGAAATTATATCACATTCGGGTGTTGTCCTTCGCCCTAAATTAGCAGTTTCCCAACAGAGGAGCAATTTGCTTTGCGTGACGAACTTTGCAGTAACACCACCATTTGATGTGACTTGAGGAAATCGAGAAGTGGCAATCTGTTGCTGTTAGAAGCAGACAGTTCTAGTGAACCGCTTGGTCGCCTACAATTCTGAATGACGACTTCATTTTGATATTTTAATTCTACCATATCGATAGATTTACGGGATATGGAAATATATGAAACAAACCAGTACCGATGAAACAGAGATTTATATAACACGCTTGGATGCTGGTGAATAGAACACTAATTGTCATCTGAAAGGAGGAGAGTAGGATCAGCTGATCGCCCAATTTCTAAGCGCGTCGCGAAACATCTCGCTCCAGACTGTTTAAAAACTGGACGAATAGCATTTCACTTTAGAGAATGCCGATTATATCGGCTCTGGGGTTGTATACTGGGGGTAAAGGTTAGAGGTGTTGCACATGCAAAGGGACCGTTTTCAGTAGCGTAAGATCGGTTGCTTTTTGAGCTGCTTCCGTTGATCTAGCCATGTAGTAAGCAGCTCCAAATGCCGGGATTATTCGAATGCTATTTGACTACAGTCTGGTGGTAAATACGTCACACATAGCGTCGTCAGGGTACCTTTTGGCTGATTCGCAATCCTTCCCCAGTGACTGGATAACCTGGAGGTACTGACCAATGTTTGTCCACAATCTTGTTTGCGTTCAGCGAGTTGATACTGTGCGGAGACCACACTTTTGTGCCTCACGTACGAGGACTGTAGGATTTAAGTGGCACTTTCAAAGGTTATGCACTCTTGAATATATTTGTAGACTGAAGGTGAAAGAAAGTTGATGAATATATCGAGAATGGCAGAATCATCGGACTTCACTCATTTTATAGTTACGTTGAAAGTACGGAGTCAACATCCATTGCCTGAGATCGTTCAAAGGGTTGAGATTGGTGTCACATTTGTCTAATCGAAGACAACGGTCTATGATTTTGTTAGCCGAGTAAATTGATTTGTATGCTTCACAACTGACAGTGATAATTTTATCAGTAAGAACGACAATGGGGAGGAGAAATATTACTTTTTACTCGACTAATAACGTAAGTATGTGATCTAGATTAGAAATTTGTACTGTGTAAAACGTGTAAACAAAATGTGGTGGTCAAGCGCAAGGAAAAATACACGATGCAGATATCGTTCGAATTGTATATCCAAGTTCTAGTAAAATTTCCGGTACCCTCAGCAACTAAGCTTGGCATGTGGATCAGGTGGGTTTCATCACCAGCCAAGGTGTCATAGATACTTCCACCAGACAAGCTTATAATTGCCATGAATCAACGACTGTTCGTGAAACTGAAGAAAAACTAGCAGAAGATAGAAAAAGACTGAGAGCGGATGATATCATCTTGGCTGCTGAATAAACGTTTGCTCTTAGAATGCTAAGCTCAGCTGACGATCTGATCGGAGCTGTCATACTTAAAGACCGCAGAATAATGTCGCACCTCTACATATGCTTGCACGTAAGCATGGGTTCAGTCATCGTATAACCAACTTATTACTTTTCATATGCTTTGTAAAAGATGATTTCCTCGTATACCAAAGGCGAAAACATTCAAAACGTCGTTAGTCGAACACCTGACCATCGGTCTGCCTCTCATTGATTTTATTAACATCAGCACTACATGGTATTACGCCCTCCCGTCACTGGTTTCTCATGGGAGCTATTTTTTATAATATTGATGGTAAAGAGCCCGTTGAGAGTCAGCCTAGATAGTCCGGCGAATAGGTGTTCGGTTCATGATCGTTCACCTCGGGTTCGATGGGGTGGGGGGCGGAATAGCGCCGCTGATAATCCCTAACAGGATTCAGGCGACTGCACAGTCGTTCTGTGCAGTTCAGTGGACGTTTGAGCGTTTGTACTGCACGACGAATCATATCATTCATAAGTACAGCTTTCGGAACCTCGGGTTGGAATGTAATTGCCACCGGTAAGCTTCTCCCTCCAAAGTATCTAACTCGATCGTTGTTCCATTTTTTGCATAACAAATGAAAGTAACAGGATGGTTGACGTTTTTACTATCTGTTCACGTTAAATCGTTTGCATTACCTCATTGTAACCACTACATGGAATACTAAACCGAACAAAACTATCCACTGCCTACTTGCTATGCTGACGATTGGATTCATTATTATCTGATGCACAGAACTGAGGTAACTGCTTCTTTCAGTTTTCTGACTTGGATTATTTTGGTCTCTTCTAGTGTATACCCAGTGCTGTTTTCAGTTCAACCACAGAGCGATGGACCAACTTCTTTGTTTGTGTATATTATTGGTGTTTTCGTATAGTTCATATTCGCAAAGGTATTGTGGAATGATCAGATCTATTTATCACAATTGCTTTACCCCCCCCCCCCGTTTGCAGTACTCCCCCTGATTTCTCGCAATGTAAGTACAACAAACTAATGTTCCTTTTTACCCTTTCCATGTCCGCATTTCTCTGCACGCTTCCTGTTGCGCGTTCTGACAACTCTATCAAAGTCTGAATTTTTTGTTCTGTTTGAATTTGATTGGTCATCAATCAAGTGATTACCATATACCGAGAAGTTTAAAAAATATCGACTTACCGGCTATCTCGGACATCAGACTAACATGCTCACATTAGTGGTTTAAGTAGACAAATGAATAATGCAGTTTTCAGGTTTGCAACTCTGCGTGACATTTTAGTCTTATACAATCCACCATTCGGTTTCCCAGTGGTAAGGTCACCGGCTGTGTGATAGTATATCGAGCTCTTTTGATTGTGCCATATCTGTCCCTTGAAGTACACTCATGCACAGGCTGGAAACTGGAAAAACCAATCCGAACTAATTTCGTTCCTTACGAGGAAATGTACATGTCATAATACAGCAATCGCATTTTGACGACTCACAACCACACTATTATCCGGGGGACCTTCAGGCCACATACCTAAGGGCCTGCCGAAGTTTGTGCATAGTGGTGTTTTAATGGGATACATCCTGCTAATAACACATTTTACACATCTTCTCCTTACGAATAACCCGGTTGACTGAGACACCCCGGTTAAGCAGTTTTTGGGTTCATTTACTTGACCTAAGCTTTTGATTAGGGAAGGAATAGATGCGAATACTCTTTTCATTTTCGATAATTTGCGTTCTCCATGTATTATTTAATCAGGCAGTTAAGACATACGCCAAGTACTTGTAATATCTTTGAAATTCATGTTGAATTCGTGTTTGTGTTATACAAACTGATTGAAGTTTGCAAGCATTTCTTCCTCTTTCTATGACAACGAAGCTATCGCTTATTTTGGGACGGTATTCGTAACGCTGTGGTTTCGTCAAAGCTCTAGTGAACTGTCGACATTTAAATTCCGTGCAGTGTACACGAATTCACTGGGGGTTCTTGAAAACAGTTATAACCTCGTGTGTTGACATCTTTCCCCCTGCTGGCAATCTTTTCGGTTTAACTGTGAGGGATAATAGGCAGTCGATGTTAGGAGAGTTTAGATCGATTATTTTCGAAGGTGAAAGACATGTTGATTTTAGCTTATGAGCACGTCTCACAGACGGTCTGGAAGCTATGTTTGGCTAAATTTCCCTAATTAGGTTTGAGTGTGAAATGCTTGACTGGATATGCGTATGTCTTGTAGACATCGAGGTTCGTAGTCGTACTCGTATATATGGTATTGTATATTTTATATATACTAGCTTGAGCATAGTTGTGCAATGTTTTTCAGCAAAAAAGGGGAAAAATACCGCCTAAGTTATTTACAGAGCAAAACGGGATCGTATTTCAGATGGAATGACATCCTTGTTTGTCGGGACACGTGCTATAATGGAACCACAGAATTCCTGTAGGAAGACAATTTGCAGGGACGCAGTTTATACGTAGACCGGGTCGACGTGAGAGACTGACAAAGAGTAAGACCAGAAAGGATTTTTGTGTGCAAGCATAACGGATGCTGTTATGTTGCTAGAGCATAGCTGCAAGACTACGTCATTTAGGGCTCTGCCAGAAACGAGACTAATGGTTCGTATGCCTCTGCGAAGAGTGACGAAGTAGTTCTTGAGAAATTCTGGAAGAATGACAAGGGGAACAATAAAAAATGATAAGTTATATACTTTGTTTTACAAAAGTGGAAATAACAGACTGTTGGGCACTAAATTGCCGTAGTTTTCTAATTTGATACGACAAGTGATGCATTTTTCCTACGGTGATTTCAATGTGTAAAGATCAATGCAGAATATGCTGCAGCGTAACGCCAAGATAGTTCACGTGGTTTATACTTGCAGAGCGAATGGAATTGATGGTGGAAGTGTAATCAATGAGTCGGGAACGAGTGGTGAAAAAAAATACACTATTGACATTTATTACTGTTCAACAGAAGACCAGATTGATTAGAAAAGTTCTCGATATGTGAAATATTTGCAGTGAATTCGTCGAAGTTTGATCTACTTGAGACAGACATAGTTAAGACAACGCGATCAGCATATTTAAAGATACGGGCTAGGTGGGAGACGGGCAAATAACCAATGAATGTTGAAAACAAATACGGAGAAAGGACAGCACGTCGAAGCATACCGGTACTTGTTAGGAGGTTTTCAACGACTTTTCAACTTACTTTAATGCATTGTGTTCTTCCAGGGAAATAGCCTTTCAACCATATTAGTAGATATGCGGGGCAGCTAACAGATTCTAGTTTTCTGAGAAGAAGCGAGCGGAGTACACTGTCAAAGGCTGACCCGTAGTCAAGAGAAACACATCTTACCGACGTTATTGTTTTTAGTTACATACTCACGTATGAGTGCGGTGAAAGGGTCATTTACCCCATAGCTACGAAGGCCCACTGGAATATTGGGGATAACCGGTAGCCAGACCCTGAGACTTGGAGTGGTCAAGAACCACATGAGGTCCCAATACATCAGGTGTGGTAACGATCCAGTCGACATTGGAGAACTGTGTACCACTAAAGTAACCGGTGATGCTAGGGATTGGAACCTCGGACGTCTGAGGTAGTAAGCAAAGGCTCTAAAGCACTCGACCAACTTCGGTTGGAATCGTTGATGGATTTGGCTATATAGTGCACAATGGACGCTACTGCATGAACTGTAAAACGCTTGGATTTGTATGCAAATTGTAAACTAGTCGGTTGGACTTTGCACTTTGTTTTGAAGGTGGCGCAGCACAACGCGTTCTGCAGTTTGCACTGCTGACGAAATTAGATTTATTGGTCTATACATTTTGGGTTCCTTCTAGCTATGTGATTGGTATAGGAATAACTAGTAAACGAACGCCAACAGTCGGGAATGGAATGTGATTCCAGTGAATTGGTAATTAACGAAGTCATCAGATCACATAAATAATCAGCTGCATATCTAAACAGCTCCACTGGAAGACCGTCTGGGCCAGTTGACCTGGTTACCTCTTTTGATTTAAGTAACTTGAGAACCCCTATAGTGGATATCTCCTGAAAATCAGACGAGATAGACAACGGGAAAATAGGAAGCGGGTTGTCTGATTGTCGGGGAAGTGGGACATTGAAGCGGTTTATATCTACATTTACCCTCGGGGATTTTCCCGTCTGACCACAGAGAAGCTTGATCCCATGCCTCTTGCGTTTGATATTTCGGGAGAAATTATCATTAAATCGTGTAATCTCAGATTTTATCAAAAGTAACAGTCGATGGACTTCAGGTTTTTTTCTGCATCTTCTAGGCTAAATTTTCCTCCTGTGTAGCTGTTTTAAGTGCGTAGAAACCACTGTTCCAGATTAGAGGTAAACAGTTTCCATAGGACAACGGGTATTGAAAGTCCACCTAATCACTTCCGTTCTTAAATTTACAGAAAAATTCGAAAGTGAACAGTCATTTAACCACAGTGTAATAACGGACAATGAACGGTTAAGGAGTAATACACCCTCCGTGGAAATGGTTCTCCGTTTGAAACGTATCTGTTTGGAATTTGTGCGCGATAAATGACCTCGGTGAGAATATATTTTAGGTCTAATATGTTTTACGCAGTGATCACTGGTGCTTTGGATGAAATTAGCCTGACAGTGAGCAGTTCTGAGTGGTTGGTCAGGATGTAGTGTAACTGGGATTCATCTTCTGGATGGTGAGGCACGTCAGAAAGCATTTGAAACCGGTAAAATTTTAGATACTGAGCTTGTAGGCCTTCTACCAAGTGCAGTTCAGTAAACTGCATAATCACCAAAAAATGGGTTGCGCAATAAAAGCCAAGCAAACAGTTTGATTTAGAAAGAAAAACATCAAATTGTTGTTTTTAGAATTGTTCATAATCTCCGAAAATCCTTATCGCCAACAAGTTTGTTCACTTTTCTCGGCGACGCTTATGATTGGGGCAGACCGAAGACTCCCTATGTCGGGCGTCGTTGTTGGATTCAGAACGTGGCCAGTTAGTAACTGATTTTTAATGGGAAACCATATGTACAACCGCGTGTCCCTACAATAAATGTGTGACTGTAAATCTGTATTCTGACCAAACAACAAATGAGTAGTTGATTATGTACCCTAATTATTTCTCACATGCGAATGCGTTGGGAGAAACAGATCACGAAGTCGGAAGGATTTATTGCTCTATCAGAAAACTTGTAACCATGTTTCTGAGACCTGAAGTAGCGGAACACTTTAAACCTTGATGGGTCGGTTGTTATAGTCAGACCAGGTAGCGGAGTAGATTTCTATCATGAACAGCTAGCATCTAGTACTTGATAATGTTGAATGTAAATGTGTTTACCGTGGCACAAACACGACAGATCTCTTTCTCCTCACCCAGGAATCGATTTCATCACTACATTTCACGTTTGGTAGAACACCGCTAAAAGTTTGTGATCGAGAAGAGCGGACGAAAAGCTCGTATTTTACATTCTACATCTTTCTGTTCTTTTGAATTGGATGAAATAAACTCACTGTGTGACAGTATTCACTTCATACCCGTTCTAAATCAGGATGAGTATATATTTTCACCAATAGTTTTCAGTCGTTGTCTATTCAATTTCCGACGAACCGTTGCAACAATGAACACTTTGGTGGTTATGTTCAGTGGGTACATCGACGGCCGTTTGCTTCCATCCGGTGTATGAAACAGTTCACTGTCATTCGATTGCGAACAGCGAAACAAGCTTCTAGTTCAAGATCATTGATTCTTTTTAGTGATTGTGTCACTTTTGTGAATTTTACTGTACAAAATTCTGAGGAATGTTGAGCAACCACATTCCGTATATATATATATATATATATATATATATATATATATATATATATATATATATATATATATATATATATATATATATATATATATATATATATATATATATATATATATATATATATATATATCGGCACAATCACCGATTCACAGCAATCTCTGGTTATCTCACTTAGGTTTTGGTGTTAACGAAACTCCTCGGGCAATCTTCGATATTGAGCAAATGTGCGAATCGGCGGTTGCACCGATTCACAAGAAACGTGACGGGTCTTGTGAAAACCACAGAGATGAATATGGCGTCCGAACTGCTCACCGGGACTATTCTTCACTAAATATTGAACACATGTGACATGTGTACGCGCGAGATCAAACCACTTTCAGACGCTGTCGGGGTTGTTTCGACCAAATCTCTACTGTTGAACAAATTTTAGAGCTTAGGAACACCTTCCGTAATCCGACACTCTGTTTCCGTACATCTGAAAACAGCATTCGATTCAGTCGACTGCACAGTTCTGTGGCACTGCCTCTCATTGAAGGGTGTGCCAGAGAATTCGAATAGTCTTTTCCAGCGTTTGTAATCGAGAAGCCAAAGCCGAATATGTGCTTACTGCGATCCTCCACCCGATGTCACCACAAGAAGTGGTATTCTTCGGGGTTGGCTTCTATCGTCGTTTTTTTTCTTCAGTTTTGTAACTGAATCGGTTTTTGTGGTAACCCCGTCCTAGTGTTAGAATAGGGGCATCGATCTTTGCTCAATCAATAAACTGCCTCACTTGGAGAACGCGATTGATATTGTTCTAATGAGTGAATTTCGAGGTAGATTGTGTTTTTGCAAATGGTCTGAAAAACAGTGTGGAAATGTTTGGTTTGATTTATGGTTCCAAAATGTTCTTTCGTTGTGTCGAGTATGAAAACCACTTGATGAGTGCATCCCGGAGTAGTAAAAATCTTCCACTGAAATTACTCACCAAACTGGTTGCAGTCATCAGTCAAGCTCTTGTCCGACTTTGTCCGTTTGTTCTCATATGATTGCAAACAGACTAATATGTTATTCATTTTTTGTATTTGTTTGACCTTCTCGCTTGTTTTTGTCACATATCTGCGCGCTCACACCTGTTGTTGTTTTCCTTTCGCAGGCAGTGGCTTTGCATGTGCATCCAGTGAGTTGTTTTATCACGATATCGGTGTCTTGATATCTCTGTTTTTTTGAATTTATGTTTATGTATATAGCTGAGACCAAACCACGAGGAACTACCAGTGAATTATAGTTTTGATTCCCCAGTGGAGTCAAGGAGCATCCACTCACTTTCCTGACTTGCAGATGCAATGATGTTGAATGGTACACATTGCGCAGTGTACGAGCACGATCATGCGAGAATGGCAGAGCACCCCAGTAGCCTCACCTAATGAGCAGTGACAACAGCGAAGCCCGTTGGTGCCTCCGATCGACTTTCTCCACTCATCTGCATGCGATTTATTATCAGTGTACGCATAGTTGAACCATGACGTCCCTGGTTCGATACTCACCACGTGCGGCCAGTTCCGTAATGGGCAACCTTAATTAACCACGGCCCCTTCCCAAAATATTGCTCAATTTTGTATAATGAAAAATGTGAAAGATTATTTACTATTACTTTTTGTATATAAATAACGAAGCATTGAAACTATTTCCCAGTCGGTGTGGGGATGTTACGAACGAAAGTACAGTGGAACACACAGTGTGGGGTTGAGTTCACGTTAGCGGAATTTGTAAAGATATTCGATGGCTCAGTTTGGAAACCTTCGTTTCACACAAAAGTATGGAGAAATGCGAGGACAACACAACTCCGCGAACGGGTGTCTGAATCAGCAAGGAACTCGGTGTCTGTTTTGAAGCCTGAAAGATCATAAAGATGGTGATTTGATACAGGAAGCTTAGGGCAATACTTTTGCTGTCGAATTTTCATTCCCATTGAAATATGCAATTTTGTGTTGACCATATCAAACTTGGATTCACCAGAATATATACGAGATGTGGATAAAGAAGAATTGTGTCCACTCACATCGTTTTGCATTAGACTCCCTTTATATTATTGAGTTTGAGTTTATCTTTAATTCTGATAGACTGCGTAATTTCCGTAGTAGTTCCGATTCCAAAATACCATAGATTTTGGTCAGATTAGCTGTGCAATAACGATTAAGCATACACTTCATTTAGTACCAATCAGTTGGTCAGTTATTAATTGATTCATCTTGGTATATTTAGGTCCTAATCGCTCTGTTGGTATCTCTTTCTCAGTAGTACTCGGTTAGAATACAAATCCGAGATTTATTTCTCACTTGAGCAATACATGACGTCAAACGATCTGTGAGGAGTTATCCCGATTGCTTGGTGCTGAATGCGTCGTTTTCCCGTTGTTTTGCAAGTTTCCGTGAATACTGCACGTCTCAAGCACGCAGATGTTTCCTCCTGATTTGAAGCATCCATGTACTGCGTTAAATGTTTCGTAGGTTTCGGAAGGCAATCGTGTAACACGGCTCATTTAAACAGGCAGGATGGCACGGAAAATCCATTTACTTAAGGCACCTACTGTGTATATTCAATGAGCAGCTTCTTGTAAAAGGCACGCACTGGACAGCGTATACGCACTATCCTCAATCAACACATTCAATTTCGTATGCATTCTGTTGTGTTTTCTCTTAATTTCTCTGGTAATCAACGATCTGCACTTATCTTAGGCTTTTTGCAGGATTTCTGAACACACCATACACCGCTCTCAGGACTGCCATTTAATGACTGGAGTATTGAAAGTGTAAACATGATAGGACATAATGGGAGATCAATCAGAAACGTTTGTCGATGTGCGCTGGGTCCCAGAGATGTCTCGGTTTCTTCCAATGGGATTGTAATCTCTGACTTTTATATGGATTTCTGAATTAAGCGATTCATGAGCCTGGTGAGCTCCTGACGGAGTGTGCGAAATTCACTGCGCTGAATTGTATTGATATGCTGCAGTGTGACGCACACATCCGATAACTCATTGCATTCTATCTCCTTTTCAGTGGCTGCGACTGCTTTCGATGTACCAGGTATGCTCATGACATGTCTATCTTACATCATTTGACCGGTGGTGGTCCAGTGGTTCAGTGCTTTCTCTCACCACCTCGGAGGTCAGAGGTTTGAATCCTCGCCATCACAGGTTACTTTGGTGGTAGGCAGTAATCCGCTGTTGTCCGGCTCGTTACCACTTTTGACCTGTTGGGGACATTATGTAGTTCACCATCACAAGTTTCAGGTCCTGGTTGTCGGTTACCCCTAAAAGTTTATTGGGCCCTTCCACTACGCTAATGCACAAGCATATAATAAAAAACCCTCCTAGTGTTATACTTCAACAATCTCCGATGGGCGTCATCATACAGCATGTTGTTGTAGTGGAGTAAGTCCAATCGCAGTCGCCCTAGTGACTCAGTCGAAGGATAACTCATCACTCTCTTTTAGTGTAACGGTGTATGACCAGAATATTTTGCAGTTAGATCCAGTTCAACATTTCAGCCCCTAATTTACCAAGTTGGAAACTGGGTGGCACTCCATCTTTTATTCTGTGATTTCTTAGCTGCTTGGAGCGAGTAACTCAGATAAAACTGTACAGGTATCGTCGAAACTGATGCACACGGGAGTCCGATAAGTACATTTTGTGCTCGTACACGACAGCATTGATGCAGATCTGCATAATTTTATAGGAACCATAACTGTCACGTAGTGACGAGATTTGAGGGCAATAACGTTCGTGTTCTGCTTGTATGTGGTAATGACTATGCTCAAAATGCAGACGAAACCATATTCTTGCCTATACTAGTGGGTAGCAATTGTGGGGAAATATGAATCTCCGACGGAAAATGGGGAAAAAATTTTTTTCATCGAATTAACCCAAAATTATTAAGAACACAGTGATCACATGCAGTATTAGACATTTGCTGTACCTTCTTTATTCAGGGTTTTTCTCACACTCATCGACCTACAGTGCACCATGTTGGTGATGATATAATTTATTATCTTATGCTCCATGACATGCTGCACTTTTGACTCTAATGCCTAGTGGGTAAGTAGTCGTTTGACTACTCTCTTCAGAAGAGTTTTTAGAATTGCGTTTAAACCTGCGCTAATAGAGGGTCATTGTATGGACTGGATCATGAAGTATCGCATGCTTCCACAGGTCTTATGGTGGATAGTGAACAGACAAATGGTTTCGCATGACTTCATTTACAAGCCACTCGTGAAACAAAGCATGGAGCGTAATTCTGAAGATCCATCACCTATCTAGGTGAATCCTTTCCTTTGAATTTATGGGCATTTTCAGTTTCAACGGTGAACATTTCCCCACCATTCAGGGTGCCTGTAATTGAAGTCCACCCACAAAGCTAAACGTGTTTTACTTCTATCCAGACCAATAATGCTGGTTTGCGTGATATATCAACATCCGACGGGATAATATTTCGGGGACAAATCCCACTTCAAATGACTTTTTTCTGGGCCCTCTGACTCACCGTAAACCAAACATCCATATGAGAAACAAGCCTATCCTCTAAATGACAGGCCTCGTGATTTGAATACCCCGATAGAGTCAGTAAACATCGTCCTTTGTTGGACTTCCAATGCAGCCTTCACAGCCCTTGATACAAGCCCCATTGAAAATTGGCGCTACCTCATGTCCAGCGGGGTGTGAAAATGCTTGGGAATTTTCTCGTGCTGGTTTAGGGACAGGGAGTTTTGGCACTGCTTTTTAGCGCAGTGTACATAACATCGTCCTGTTCACTCGACTTGCTAATTCTTCTACCTCTGAAATATAGATTTGTGGTAGTTTCTCTATATGTGATAATCGATGCTCCTGTTTGCGTTAAAACACGGCCAGATATGTAACAGACGATTCACACTAATAGGCCTTTTCAATCGTACTGTGGTTCCCGTTGTGGAGATGCCGTGAAAATTCAGTTTTGCTATACGGCATACCAAATTTCAGAACGAAGCTATTCTCCCTTTACCATTCACAGTAGAGAACGTTAAAAACGAGGCTGACACAACAATAAGACTCTATTCTGGTGCGCTATCCGCTGGACGATTTCACGTAAACAGACGGACCAGTGAGCCTGGTAACAAGGTGATTGGGTTGGCCTGTGGATTTTGAGACTGACAAACGTACGGGAGCAGGAATTACATGATTATTGTGCACCGGAGCACGTGCTGCACCCTGGTTACCTAGTTGATGTACATTCGGGTTGGTTGCGCGTATGCACTTTACAGAACTCACATCGAATTTTGTTCTGCGCAATACCGCGCGGAAATTAACAGATTTTGAGGGAGACGAAATAGCCATGTTCTACCAAATGGGACTCAGTTTGCATGAAATCGCCAGGAAATGCTGGCGGTTGGGAAACGTCGAATGTTGGTATCTGGATTGCAGTGAACAGCGTGCGTTTAAAAAGCAAATGAATCGTCCAGAAAAATGAAGAAATAAGCCGAAGGCAAAATAATTCGTCTAGCCTCCAATGACACATCCTCCATGTCGACATTTCAATTGCTGATCGGGATCAGTGTTTTTGAGGTACGATCTGATACATCGTCTTACTGGCAGAGTGCGTCAGAGCCGTCCCAGTAACGAGCCCACGGAACCATGAGGGACAGGATAGCCGATCGATGGCGTGAATCGACAACATGAGATATGGATTCCGTCAGTCTCCAGGTTTGGTCGCCAACGCAAGTCGGACCAAAACGACTGGGTATATGGACCAACGGCTTGTACATTCATTCTGTACAGCCGTAAACTTTTCCATCTAACTAAAAATACCGATGTAACGGGCTGACTGCTTTGAAAGCTCTATCAAACTCGTACCGTTATAGAAAGAGATTTTTTGGCGGAATTCTTCTAAGAAAAAACATAGGCACAGTAGCAAGTTGTACGAGAACAGAGACTATCTTATTACAGTTTGCTGATGGAAGTTTGCCAGGGTGCCCAAGACCGTATGGGTACCTTGGTAGACATTTTTGTCTATTCAGAAGACGTAGATCGTTTTCGTGGCAAGTAAAATCATCAAACAATGCTGTCACTGATCTGATTGACAGAGTCCAACACGATTTGCATCGCTTAGCAATAGTGTGAACTGTACAATTTTGGTTTCCGAGGCTAGTATGAGTGGTAAGAACGAGATTTCCGCCGTACGCACACTGGGGAAGTTGGAAACATTTGTTGCTTTTCTAATAAACGCGTTTGCATGCATACAATGGAAGATGTGTACTCAATTGCCACAAAGACGCACTACGCAACTGGAGACAATCGGCAACCAGAAGCTGATACTTGACGTGGTGAATCACATGTCATCTTGATAGTTCAGGGATTGTAAGGAGTGGGAACACACTGGGTTACTTCCGTGCTCCAGTGCAACCGGTGATGTTGGGGATTCGGAGCTCTGACCGCCGAGGTTGTAAGCAAACGCTCTGGACTACTCGATCACCAGAGATAGTTTATTATCGAGGCGCTTACCATAGCGAGACGCGCACAGCATGATTCATTTCACGCAGCCGCTGTTGTTTCCAATACTTTAATTTCAAAGTCGAAGCTTGTAGTACTAATTCATCGTTTCCACAACACAGTATTTACCTCGGTAGAATTATATGATTGGACTGTGAATTCGGGCTCTAATTATTTCATTCTACTTTTTAGCCCATGAACTGGTTGTATGTCGACTGTTTTGGAAGTTTCGGGAACAGTAGCATATTGTATGATCTGACTCGTTCTAATATCATCCGCCAGTGATCTGTTCTCAAGTCGATTTCTTATACTGGTAATTAGCACACACAGATTTCTGGTGACGGGGACGCATGTAACACATTTGAATGCACAGTTAAAACGCCTTGTACAATTGGAACTGGCACAACAAAACCACCATGCCCGATGTTAGATTCCGTAGTCGCACAAGTTCACAGCGCTGGATCTGATACCCATTTTGTAGCCACTCACTAGCTCTAGCGAGGTGACTTCTGGCTTCGAACCACCTCAGTCAATCAGTTCCAGAACGGCAGTGTGTATATGGTACGTCGTAATAATGCCGAAATCATGCCCTGCAAAGTTATTGGTCCACTTGGTATTCACAACCAGCTCCTCTAACTAAAAATACCGATGTACGGAAGCAGAACATTTGAAAACTGATCAAAATGTCGTCGTCTAATTCGCTGTCGGGAACATTTCGCGAAATTTTACTTGACCTTCATCCAAGACCGGCTTGCTCACTAGCGGGATGGTTATAGCTACAGTTGCACATACCACTCGTCCGTCAGAAGGGGAGGTCCTGTGTGAGATAAACTATCCTAAAGGTCGTAAGGCTGCTGAACCGGATGGGTGGCTTCTGTCTATTTTCAAAGGAGGTGACTAAGCACTCTTACTGGAGTTGACAAAACTCCTCGGTTTGATATGGATGCGGGAAGAAGTTCCAAAGAATTTGTGTGTTTTAGTGACCGTACCGATTTGTAGGATAGTCGATAGCTCCTCGTGTTAAAACCACAAGGGAATGAGTCTGGTTAGCATCGCATCCAGATTGCTCGCTGGTGTTCTTCTCCATCATCTTCTCACCACTCGCAAGAGAATCAAGCTTGGTTTAGACCTGGTCGAGGTTGTATTGATCACATGTTCACTCTTCGACAAATTTTAGAATACAGGCACACCTTCCGTAGACCCACTATCTCCGTTTATCTTGATCTTGACGCAGCCTTCAACTAAGTTGACCACACATTTCCGTGGTGCTGTTTGTTTTTGAAGGGTGTACCAGGAAAATTCATTTCCATCATGAAGTCCCTTCACTAGAATAACCGAAGCCGAGTTTGTGCTTACGGTCATTTTTCATCCGAGTTCTCAAGGAAAAGTTGTTTACATCAGGGTTGCTCCCTTTCTCCTTTTCTCTTCAACTTTGTGAGTGATATGGTCCTAGGGACCGTGCTTTTGTCAGCTGCTGTCAGATAGTCCTCACTCGAGAGAGTCACCAGACCTGAATTCCTTTCGACTTGTCATGCTGCTAAGCTGCCTAAATGGCCAAGCCCAGTGGGACTACTGCGGCATGCTAAAACACTATCTGAGCCCTGCTAGCCGACTGAATCCAATGAACATATCACCGTCCGTGTGAAGCGCTAATGCACCACAGCGATGCCCAGTATCATAGGCAAACCAGTTATAGTTAACCGGAATGCATGTAATTGTGCAGTATTTATTGAGTCGACTGCATCAGTATTGTGGGCGGGGTCTTTGGGCCAATTCAAAACAGGTAAGACTAAACCTAAGTGAGAAATGTGGGGGATGATCAGTTTTTGACGGGACGTTGAACATATACCAATAATGAACGGTGCTTGAACTTATGAAGCGGGAAACACATTCGTATCATCTGTTCCTTGTTGGAAGCAAGTACTGCAACTCAGTGACTGTTTTACAGGTGAAAAAGACTGTTGTCTATGAGATCAACAAGGAGTGCAACTGTTAAATTGCCGAACAGAAAGCAACGTGGTGCGTGTAGTGTTGAGTTCGTGTTCTTATCAGTCTCATAACGAGTCCGTACGTTTTAGAAACGTGAGGTATATGGTACAGGTGGTCAAAATATCCAAATACTGAGTACTTGCACAGGTAAAATCATGAACCAGTTGAAAAGATCTACTGTTCACGAGGATCATATGTTGAATGAGAAATAACATTTTTTCTGTTTGGCTAATTCTTCAGTTGTAGGCTCACGGGAGGTTTATTCACTAACGGGCTGACTGCTTTGAAAGCTGATCTGACTCGTTCTAATATCATCCGCCAGTGATCTGTTATTAGGTCGATTTCTTTTATTGGTAATTAGCACACACAGATTTCTGGTGACGGGAAGCATGTAACACATTTAAATGCACAGTTAAAACGCCTTGTACAATTGGAACTGGCACAACAAAACCACCATGCCCGATGTTAGATTCCGTAGTTGCACAAGTTCACAGCGCTGGATCTGATACCCATTTTGTAGCCACTCACTAGCTCTAGCGAGGTGACTTCTGGCTTCGAACCACCTCAGTCAATCAGTTCCAGAACGGCAGTGTGTATATGGTACGTCGTAATAATGCCGAAATCATGCCCTGCAAAGTTATTGGTCCACTTGGTATTCACAACCAGCTCTTCTGATTAGTTAGACTGGTTACAAACCCAGTTGGTTGATTCGATTCGGACGGCAGCTGGCATTCGATTGATACTTCGGTCCGCTTCGTTCACTCCAACCTTGTTCTCGATTAAGGACACTCGAAGACATGGTTACCGCTCATCAAACAGTCGTGCTGTCTGTCAAACGAATCAAATAATCTACTGGCCCATCCTCTCACAATACCGAATGGAGTTTCGCGGTTGGATGTTCCATTCATTAGAGTAGCATAATGCGTTGTCGGTGGTATATTCACCGTCACCACACAATACACCATGAATTAATGTGGCAGTGATGAAAATTGGTGAAAAAGTTTAAAAAACCGGAATTGGTCATAATAGCACGATTACGAGGCCAGACAACATTTTCTCCGCAACCATTAGCCCAGTCCTGGGATATCGGTGAGTATTTCTCAACCCACGAACCCTACTTTGTTTATTGGTTCGAAGCTGGTGATTAGCACTGAGTTTCCACAACGCGCAATTCAACGAATGCAACCGATTTGGTCACGAGGAAGAAGTACCTTCTTCGAACGCCTAAACGAGTCTCCTGTTGAAGCTCACATGACAATCGACTTAGATTTCTACCTATTCCCCAATAATCACATGTTCGCGGTTGATTCGATGCCTTTTACTATCCGTTTCAAAATCTTTCCATTGATGCTCATGTTCTCTGTGAGTCTCGTTTCAACAACTGTATTTGTCTATGGTAATTCGCGCGGTTGAAAGCTGATAAATGCGCAAATCAACGACAACTTAGCGTTGGTACGTTGTGGAAAGACACTTCCTTGGGGTACTATTTTGATCGAAACGTATAGTCATGTTGGTAAACCTCAAGTGTTTGATTAAAGTACATCCGGTTCAGCTCGAATATCATGGATGATAAGAATCATTTAACTCAGCCGATCAGTGGAAACGTTGAACAGATCCAGTTTGCCCAACGATATCCTAGTGGTCATGGTCGCGAACATCCTTTCTGGAGGTCCCGGGTTCTAATCGCACCGCAACAGATCATTTGCTTTTTCAAATGTGGCCCCTTCGAAATACTGTATAGAATTGTTGTATTATAATTGAAAAAGTGCAAGATTTGTAAGGATATTGTTGTGATTATCACTGTCACCGTAAGAGTCGTTAACCTCCATGGAATCCGTATCCTTTCATGGAAGACTACGCGCGCTTCAGCACCACATTGACTCAACCGTCTGGGGTATGAGTTCTCAGCGGATAGTGAGTGCATGAATACCTTAATTGACCAGAACTTCCGGACGGGTTGATGTTAGAAAATAATGTTTTAGTTGGAAAGCGCAGAGGTATTTGATCTAAGAATTCATAAATCAGTTCACCGTGACGCATCCGTGGTGACCCAGTCAAGTCATTTTCCATTCTTCCACTGATCTTTCAATCACATCTTACATGAAGCCAACGGTTTTCGGGACTGTTTTTATGAAATGTGAATAACGTTGATATGAAGTGAGGACACGGAAATTTTTAACTTCCGTAGATGCAGTAAATCACAGAATTTTGCTGAAGACAGTCAAGCGGTCATCAATGTGCCGAGAATTGCTAGAAAAAAGTGTTTCAGTATCTGGTAGTTTATGGTAGAAGTGCTTTATCCAGAACAAATAATTCGATTGCAATGATCTTGTTGAGTTTGACTCAAGAGTTGAATGTACATGTAAAGCAAATATGTGATGTCAATCACCGAAATATCAGATCTCGTTTTATCACATATGTACATTTACTGGGAATGTCAAAGGAACACGATGGTGGTGCTTCCATTTCGTGTTATGTTAAATCAGTGTCGTGTGTACTACCCTACTGTTATGGGCCATTCGCTTATGCGATTTGATAACCGATTTTCTTAGTTAGCTTCAGTTGTCACTCACCTTACTTGTCATTAAGGGCTTCTTTTTCGCAACCGATCATTAGGTTTTCGAACAAAATCCCAAACGAGTCGGTATCATCCTTGTCCAGTTTTTTAGTACCTGTTCTCTTCTTGACTACTGCTCACTGTTGTGATTCGATCTCCATGAGTTGTCTGTGAATTATTCTAACACACACACCTACGTGGACTCCATTTTTCCGTTATCGTCATTTTCTTTCTGTCTTGTGGTTCTTGTTTTTAGATTGCGCATTGAGAGGTAAGTGATCTGATTTGTTGAACTCGGTCAGTTAAAAAGTTAATCGTATCGCATGTATTGTGGCCAGAGCGAAAGTTAAGTGGGTGAAAAGCAGTTTTACGAACATGTTGAAAGCCGAGGAAAGAAGTTAAATAACGGGAGAGTTTGGGTTGAAATATCTAAGTTAATATGCGAAAAATGTGCATTGTCTATGGCTATTTGGACAGGGAGGAAAGTACATGTCGATGAATCTTCCTTCAATAACTGGGTTTGCACGTTCTTGATCAAACACGAACGTCTCTATTCATATTCGGCCAAACATAGCGATCGAAAACAAATCTGATGGAGGTGCGTATTCCAGGATGGGATATGAAATGTAAATGCATAAAATCTAAGCAACGAAATGAACATGGAACAAACAGTCGAGGCTTGCCAGTCGAGATATCGGAAAGAACTTTACCATTTCCGTCAGGTAGGGGCAAGTCATTCAACATCAAGGAGGACGATGGGTGGTAGCTCTGTAGTTCTTAGTTATTCTTTTGAGCGTGCGCTATCTCGGCCCAACTGAATGCCGCTGGGTTAGTTAGTCGATGTGTACCTGGTTGAGAGGGCATCAGCTACAAGAATACTCGATCCCTTTATACATCTCACATCGGTGGTATATTGGGAAATGTAGTCGAGGTGTCTAATTTCCCTCGGCGAATGACGGTCGCTGCTTGAAGCTAACGCATGAGTCAAAGGCTTCTACCTTCCAAAAGGTGTCGAAAGTGCTTTATTACCGGGTAGATTGCAACTAGTTCACGGCCCAATTTGCTTCAACGAGTCTTGGCGGATTGGAGTTTTCGAGAGGAAGATGACAACGGCTGTCTGTGGCAATTCGGTGCCAACGGATTTTTGGGAGGCGTTTGTTCGCAATCCTAGAATAGCGTTGTCATCATTACTTAAGTGAGTGTTGTGACTTTCGACAACACTTGCTTAGCTTCTTGGAATGCTGATTTAGCTTTGGGAGTCATTGAGAACTGGCGGAGCCCTTCCCTTCAAAAGTTCAGTAAGTGGTTGCAAGATCTCTGAGCAACTTGGTATGTATCGACAATGGTGGTAATCGACACTGGCGCGGTACCAACCACAAGGCTTGAGACAACGGAATCTTGGATGATAGGACAGCCGGTGGATGGAGTGTATCAATAGATGAGAGATGAATCTTGTGCGCGTTGTTTAAGCCTCAAGGTGTGGTCGCCCACAACAGCCAGACCAATGTGCTGTGTGCAACGAGTAAGCATACGTGACACCAATCTGCATATTCTGTTCTATTTACTAATCAAACGATATTGTTCCGAGGTTGAACAGAGTTTTCACTAGAGTTAATGGGATGTTACAAATCAGAAGAGGAAAGATGCGTTGGAATACCTGGCGCAAGTGTTTGCGATGTTGATTTCCATCCGTACCAACAACTAGGACGTCGTCAATGTAAACGAAAGAAAAGTGTGGACCACGAATAACTTGATCCACGAATCGCTGGGATGATTGAGCGGCGTTGCACAAGCCAAAAGTCATACGCAATAATTCATACAACCCAAATGATGTCGTGATGACGATTTTCGGAACATCTGGCACAACGGGAATATGGTAATACGCCCTTATCAAATCAAGTTTGGATGAAATGTGTTTGTCACACAAACTGTTGGAGATGTTTTGAATGTGTAAAGCTGGGTAACGGTTGGGTACCGTGGCATTGGTGAGAGCGGGTGGCAGTCTTTGTGTGCTTTGAAATCATACGGAGTGGGGAGGACCAAGGACTGCTTGATGGCCGAAATATCCTCAAAATTAGCATTTGTTCGAATTTTGGTTATGCTAGAGATAGGCGCTCAAGTACTAACCTTTGAGGACGCGCCGATATCAGTGGACCTTTGGTGACAGTGTGCTGTTGGACGTTGTGTGGTGCTCGTGAGATGCGTGTTTGTGGTTTAGTGAGAAACACGCATCGTCATGGGACGTATTCCAAGGGAGCTGATGAAGGTACCTGTGCCGTGTGTTTCAATAGACGTATTTTTGTCCAACAGAACACGGTGTTTCACATCAACCACAGGTGAGAATGCAGAAAAGAAATCAATTCCGAGAATAGGGTACTTAACGTTGGCAACCTTGGAAATCCAAAGGAACTATCGGCCAGCAAAGGTTATTCCCGCCGTCAGCGTTTCGATAGATCGGTGTCACGCTGCTTCTGTGTGTCAGCTGTACGTGCATAATCTGACGAGGAAAGTCGATGAGGGGGCATACGTAGAACCTGTCCCAAGTAACAATGCCGATGGAGTAAATAAGAAACGGTGACAGAAGTCTGGGCAGTGGTATATCTTGCACAACTCATTTTCGTGATGCCTGTCTACTTTTCTAGGTATATACGACAAAACTCGATTGAGAATCCTACTCAATGAGGTTCGCCTTCCTCACAGCTTTATATGCATTTGGTTTTTCCAATTTTGCTGTTCTTCGATTGCCACTCGATTGACTGATAGATTTGTGCTGATTTGTTGTAAGCCTAGCTAGTCAGTCACCCAACCCATTTCACGTCATGGCCACAACACAGCAATGCAGGTGTACAATAATTTTAACCATTATTCTGTGATTTATCCTCTTAGTACAAAAGAATGCATCACAATTTCTCTCTTCTCATGTAATGAAGCCGATGTCCGATCACTTCAATGTTTATATTAGATAATGCACTAATGCAGACCCTTTGTTTTTTTCACTTCACGGGTAATGTTTCTTGTCCACTCTAGCATTCTTAGTTCCATTCACTTTGAAAGTCGTATTTACACTACAGCTTTCCAGGGAGCCGTTCTATCCCCATTCTTGTTCTCCATTGCAAACGTATTCAGTAACTTCTCCGGCATTCCCATTGATAAATAATATATTTGTAAAGAGTATCGACTCACTATCTTGCAGTTATTCTGGCACTGAATGTTGCTTGACTCACCGATATCGAAGCTTGGATTTCTGAATCTTCGAAATCGCGTTCTCATTGTGGCAGTGGTGACAGGGATACCAATGCCAACTCCTTCATACGACAGCACTGCAGCTTTGCTGACCTGACTTGCATGAGCAAATAGTCGAAATTCCTACGATCGAACTTCCAAAATGTGTTATCGGCATGATGTTCATTGTCTGAATACCATCTTAGACGATGATTTTTGTTTCTTCTTGTTTCTGTCCCTCGTGCTTTTGAATTTCTATTCACCTGAAATCGGTCGTGGTAGTCAGCTTGTGGGTTGATAATATACAGGCTGTTGTGTGGTCTTGTGCAGTCTCGTTTGTCGATTTCGTATCTCGAAATTGATTGTGCCCGGAGACGCAATGTGTGACAATGAAGGGTCGGATGATGTGATGTAACAAACTTCCAAGCTCTAATGCATTTCTACTGATGGAGGTTTCGCAAAGTATGTATTCAGAGGCTTTATGCTTTGTACTCGATAAGACCCTCAGTTGACATGTGCATTCGATTGATGAGGACTAGTAAGCAAACAACAATTGGATTTCGGTAAACTGCATTTTCCAGTAGGCAAACTGTATACCGTTTATCGATCACGATTTCCGATTACCTATTTCTTAGATTTTGTATGCTGATTCTAGTACCCTTCATAACCCCATCCACGTGGGCAGAACCATTGTTTTATGGGAGTTGTCCCTCACGGTAAACTTACTCTGTTTAAATGCCACGAAAATTGTGAATGAAACAGATTACTGTTGTGTCTGTTACGATAATTATTCTTCATCCTTATTCCTCTTCGGACCCACGTTTGATGATAATCATGATACCGGTTGTGTCCCGAAAGAACCGTTACCTGATTAGTTAATTTTGGTTTCTTTTCCACGCTTTTCAGGCATGGCTCAAGTCGAATGTGGTAAGTGGCCTTGAGCGTGTGTTGATGTTTCTGTTTATTGTACTATTCAGTGTGACTGGTACCTCGTTGATCGTGTGTGCTCATGACTTCAGTCTATGCTATTTGAAACTGACGCGTAAACCACATATAGAGGTCATTAATATGACTTATTGGGAGATTCTCTTTCGTCCAAAGTAAAAATGTTTGTTGGGAAGTGATTGACTGGACTTGGTAAGAAGTAAGTACATTTAGATCGCGAATGGGATTCTGTAAGAGCGAATGTCATTCTTCAATGATTCCATGTTTGGAACTACAGACTGATTGGTACGAATCGTTCTGTTAGTGAGCTGCTAACTGTTTGCATCTGTTCTTCAATTTCTGTTAGTAAGCCGATCGAACAGGTCTGTATTTAGTATTGTTAGAATCGATCATTTCTAATTAGTGAATTTGTGTTCGCACTGCATATAGGTGCAATTCAATCCTGTCACTGCTGAGACTAACTAAGTGCTCGAACTCTGTATTGGAAATTTGCTCTTCAGTATGACAGTAGTCTTAATTTGATTTATCATATTTTATTATATCTCGAATGTGGCACCTGGGATAACAATCGAATCACACTCGAATATTAGGGTGCAAATTGTCTCACTTTGCTTCGGTTAGCCGTAGGCTATAAATCGTTTCTATTTTTGCTTCCACTGTCATTCCACATCAGTTAGTTTTACTTTGTTCCGTTAGCTAATGGATTTGGTGAAACTTCGTCTGCGTTTTTGTGACGATTAACGTGTCGTTTCTCAATCTATCGTAGGAGTTGTTTAGTAAGAATGTGCTTACGAATGAAGCTTTTGTTGCCATTATAAATGTGATATGAAATGTTGTCTGAGAGAAACTCGTCAGATTCCTTGAATTTCCCGATAACGTTTGGAGTGTAATATGTGATTAGTGATCGTCCAACGGGGTTGGCGGATGTCCAATCTGCAAACCGTTTTAAGAGAAATCTGCATAAGCCGAAACTTGGTAAGTGCAATAACAAGATCTTACACTTACATTAGTCGAACGACAACGTGGCTGCCTGGATCCTGATTACTATAGGATGATATTTTTCGTGCTTTCCACGATAGATTATTGTGCCCTGGTAGAAAAAGTCTGCTCATTTAGTATGTTAGGATTAACCCAGTCGAACACCTCATGCATTCAGCACTCTGTTGTAAACTGCTCAAGTATACCACTGTTGTGTCTCGGAATATAGTAATAGAACGAAGACCCGTTTGTAGGAACAAAAAGAGTGTGCAAGCATGAGGAAGTTATAAACGAATGAAAGCAATCAGTCGATATCTGTCCCACGCGGAGCTAGCTGCATGTGATTGGCAGAGTTAGACAAGCCGGTGTGAAGTGAAGACATGCTTCGCACGCACTAGTGAATGGTGAACGGAGGAAAAATGCATCATGTGCGAATGTGAATGATACATAAATTGACCCGACAAGAAAGGCAATGCAGCACCAACCCCATTTTGTTCATACTTTCTTCGCATGCTTAAGATGACGAATTCGAGATGAGCGCTGATGATGATGATGAGGATGGGCAAATACAACCGGTACCATCATCCGTGAAGCCGAAAGAACGTGATCCGCTATTATGCCTGGTCGATTTGCAACGGGCCGATGGATCGTGGGTTTTGGATGCTGAGTTTTGCGAATGTCTAAGCTTATCACTCACTGTTGTGCAGTCCGCTGTTCCCAAAACCTGTGAGTCCATGGTTACCTTAAATTGGTGAAAGTAATTCGGTTTTGGCTTACCAGTTTGCATGACTACAAAGAAAACCGAGTGCTCTAATTTGATGCATAGTGTATCATTCTTCACGTTACAATGTCTGCATAGATTGGTTGCTGTTCATTGAATTTATGGTCGTTAGAAGTCAAGTACATTATGAGGTATTTTCTTTCGGATTGTTTGATTGATGAATTTTTGTTGTAATCGCATTTCTTACTTGTTTATCCTTATTCGTAAGGGGGAAATATGAATTGCTCCGAAATTGTATCGGATTACTAGAGAGTTCGTAAACGTCATCACATGGTCTGTAAGGAATGTGCCTATCATAATTAGGATAGGATGACAGCTGCTTGAGATGCATTTAACTGCATTTCATAATTAAATAATAAAAGATATTATCATTTATATGTACACGTCAGGGGTATAGCATTGTTCCTGGATGTTCCACAGTAGAATAGTTCACCTTAACTTGACGCAGTCACGAGTGCATCTATCTTTATCGTACAGTGGTCGAGCCCATCTAAACTGCATGCTTCACCGGACTACTTTTATGCTTGAATCGATACAATTAAGTGACATACAATAAATTTCGAATCAATCATCAGTCTATGTAAGGAGAGACCAGATAATACCAACCACCGCCCGTGGTCAATTGACACATTTCAGCGAAACTTTAGGGAAATGCGTGAAACTAATCATTGGGAAACGTCACGAAACTTTCACAATTTGTTATGAATGTCAAAAAAGTTATTCGATCTTTACAACGAGTCAGTGTACCCATGGGATCCCTGGACGTTGTGATGCTATCAAAGAAGTGGAACTAGTTGTGGTAAAAGCCGCACCGTACAGTGTGGGCAAAAATCCGTGTACGCCATGAGGAGGTCAGATTTCTCATTTAACTACTCGCAACCGTGTTAGTAGGCAAAGTGGAGCAAATATCACAGAGTAAATAATAAAGTCAATTAGAAAAGTGTACGTGAAAATTGGATGGTAGATAAGCAAATTGGTGGACCTGACCAGCATTTATTGTCGGATAATTGTTCTAGGATTCACACTAACCCTAAACGAGGAGTTCGTAGGTGACATATTTCTTATAAGTATATCGGGTACTAATACAGAATAAACGTGATGAGGTCAGTTGTCTAGATGGGTTTTCGTAAAGAGTACAATCTGAGTTTGGTCCAATTTCATCCTAAGCAATAACATATTCATACAATAAACCTTCTTTCGGTGGAAATACCCTGGAATATACTAGATTAGCGTCCATTGTGCAAGCGCATGTTCACTTCCAGGAAGATGTAACATGCAGTCTGATACTCTGGACTTGTGTGTTCAGAGATTCTGTTGCATGGAGTATCTTCTGAGACAAGAGAAGTTGGTTCAGTCAGTTTGACTATCTTCACTTCAGTGTTTTGTTTATTCCTAATATATGTCGTTTACTTTTTGTCTAAAGTTTTGTAAGATATGTAAACCCACTAGTATTTGTAGTCGGGACTGTAATGATGCATTGCAATTTGTAACGAGAATAAATCTCTCAAATATATTTGGCGTAGATTGTAGGCCGCAGTCTATCGGAGGTCATTTATCTGACTGCTTTGACAAACATGAATAATGAACACGTGGCCATGGTCACAACGTCTTTCCACGTGTATAGTGATCCATCGACTTAACTTTTCGAAAGACATGATGCACAAACAGGTTCTCGAGTGTAAATTGATAATGGTGTCAACCGCAGAATAATCGGTATATCAAGTTTTAGCTTAATTTGCTTCAATGAGGGGACCATTCTTATTCCACACATGTGCGACATACACACACAAACACGAAAAATATGTGTGGTGTCTGTTCGTGTATGTCACGTATGTGGGCAGAGACCAGATTATGTGCGCTTCATAGACAAAACGCCCATTGCATCGAGCGGGGTGGGTAGTGATAAGTGGTCTACTGCTCAGAGTTCTCTCTCTTTTATCCAACCTTTGTCTTCTGCTATGTGATATTTATTTCATTTTGCCCACCAGCACGGTTTCGAGTGTTTAGTTGAGAAATTCGACCTCCTCTTGGCTAATACGCAAATTTTATTCACTTTGTACGCAGAATAATTGCAGTTATTTTGTATTCCACCAGAACAACCAACAAAAGTAATCATCATCCATTCCTGTTTGACGCCTTGATGAACCTGAACCCCACTAATCTATTGTTGAACACATGGTGACACTACTCAGTACCCGAAGAATGGAAGGGTGGGAAAAATTATGTCGTTAGAGAGGCAACAGTATCCGATTTGTTGTGATCAGTTGTTAATGCTGATGATGATTCATGTCGGGGATCTTTAGCAATGAGGTTTAACATGCCTTCAAGGTGTCTTATGTGCATCGTGCGCTTCGCATTTTTCGCCCTGCCGCTAATGCGATAGATCCAACTCTTTAATTGTCCTTTTTGATCTGTTTGAATTGGTATTCAGAACGTAAACTCGTTACCCCATGCAATAGGGCTGTTGGAAAGCAATCTGGACCACTGGTTTCATAGCCCTGACTTCCGAAAAATGAATCGTATGCTGGTTTGTAATCGTCGACGGTAGAAATAGTGTAGTTTTTTCGTTCCTGGATTTACCGGCCGGTTTTCGGTTGTTCTCGGTCATCTTTTCGGATTCGGAAATTTCCGAGATTCCAGATTATTATTTCAGTTCGTAAATTCGAAGCAGCATACATAGTCGATGGTTCATTCCTGCATCAGCTACACAATATTTAGCGCAAGCAGAGGCACATCAGACGCATCTCGAGCAGGCGAATATGATAGACAGGAGGGACTTCTAGTCGACTGTGCGATTTCTCATGTGTCGGTACGATTACGAACAATGTTCGACACACACACAGACACAGACACGCACACACACACACAGACATTGTAACTGAACGGCTGTCCAGTGAGTGAGCGACTCGTGGAACACGAATCCGAAACCCAAAAGGAATAAGGCGAGTAGGTAATCTACGTGTACTTTATGAAACAATGATTAGAATTACAAACAACATACCTCAATTTTATTGGGGCGATTCAATCACAAGGATGCGGGAATAGACATCAAATCGTCTGAAAGGTGTGGCGAGGAACGTCTGCCGAGCGATACTGGGCCGAGACTTCGAAATAAGGGGAAATTCATATTTTATAGCAAGAACAACCGACCAATCAGAGAAAGAGTGGGAAGTGTACATGAAACGGATGGAAAGAGATATGACCATGAAATAAGCTCAGACAAGGACCAAGAGAATTGCACGCACGCTTGTCCTAGACCATCACGCTGAAGTGGCGTAATCTGGAGCATGGAAGAAAAGTACAAAGGTGACTCGTGTGGTGCAGGTGAGAAAGCCGACAAATAACGGATGTAGACATGACACACAAGGTCCGGCACATGTGACGCACAAAAACGTGAGGTCGTAGGCCCCTGGATTGGGCGCAATGGAAAATCGATCCACTGTAAAAGCACATTCATAGGGTAAACGGTATGGGAATAGAGACAAGGTGGCCGCGTTAAAAATGTGAAAGTAAAGGGAAGACGTGTGGGTCAAACTGGTTGGAAAGGGCCAGTTAACACGCTGAACGATGTCACGGAAGTGAGAAAAGGAGACAGCGAGGCAACTTCACAAACGTACGGAATTACCGTTACACACACACCATCCATATATGGAACAAGGGATTGGTTGACTGGACACCTAAGTAGTGTGGTGCATGTATTTGTGCGTATGCCAGGACGCTGTATTCAACAGATCGTAGTGTTTAACTATTTGATTATTCATTGCTTGGCCGAATGAATATTGGACTCCACCTTTCTTTCCACTGGTGTGTGGAATCGATGGTACGTCCCTTGGCTGATTATCCTTTGGACTCCACCTTTCACGAACAAACCTCTGGTCGTCCGACCAACCTTGCACTCGGAGTTAACAGGACAGCAACGGTGTTCCCCTCTAAGGCAGTCGAGCATTGCTGCCTGTCACGGAGGACGACATCTGCACGTGAAAGGGCCAGGAATTAAAGCCTGGGTGCGGCGGGCGATGCTCATCAATGATGAGCTTTGAGAAGAGCGAAACTCGAGCCTGGTGCTTCCGAGTGCAGGGTTGGTCGGATGACCTGAGGTTTGTTCGTGAAAGGTGGAGTCCAAAGGATAATCAGCCAAGGGACGTACCATCGATTCCACACACCAGTGGAAAGTGTTTGTGGAATGTACACAATTATTTGATTATTGGATTGTGTAAATTTCTATTCTCATGTTTTGTTCATGAATTTCGGGAAGAAGTGAACAGACCCATCGTTTAGATCAAAATATGTAGTCGAACGTGTTTTTGATGACTCATTTTCAAGCCTTTACAATCACATTTATTCGGTTTCTATACCTCAGGGGATGCCATTCACACAAAGGGACCTGTACCCGAGGCTGCATGGGCTACTGCGCTCGCGTTGGCCTACTTCGAAACCACATTGGATACTCGTGCATCGGAGTGGAAGTTGTTGGCAAGAAAAGCGAGTGGTTGGTTGATGAAGCAAGTCACTGTGGGAATCAGTGACGCAAACTGTGCTAAGGAATACTGTGATAATCTGATTGCCGAAGCGAAAACATTTCTGACGAATAAGATTTAGATTGAAAAGAATATACTGGACCCTGAGGACTTTATAACCGTTTTTTGACTTTATATTCTCATCTCATCTTTCATGTTCTGTTTCTTCAAATGATCGGTTTTTGCTTTTTGATTTGCGACTTGTTTCTCCCACGAAATAAACCCTGCAGATTTGTCATCTCGTCTGTTTCGGATTTTTGTCATGTTCCGATTTTGTTTTTCGCTCCCGTCTCAAGGTTTGATTTCACTAGAAAACCGCGAAATCAGCGTTGTATTACGTCGGAGACAGTATTCAGATTTCGTACGCTTAATACAAATTATTGTAAGATGGCTGAACTCTCATATACGGGAGTTTTTAAAAAATACCCATCACAGCAACCTTTAGAGAGGAAGGTTTCGGCTAGAGAGAAATAGATGAGGATAGGGAAAATGTTCCACCGTTTGACAGTTTGTGAAGTAATATTTCAACGCCCAGGGACTGTTGTGCACTAACCAGTCAATGCAGGTAAGCTGATTATTGATGTCCATGTCGAAATAATCCAAGAGAATAGTGTCATCACGATGAGACTGCCCGTTGATATAGTGTGATGGCTTACGTTTGGAGCCCGTAAGACTGATGTGTTTCGTCTCGAAAGCACTCATGGAAGCCCCAACTTCACCGCGCTTCGGATACAAACTCGGTTTCTCGTTTCACACTTCGCCTGTTGGGCGATTTGTTGTGTAATGCTCGTGGTCTGGTTAGCATTGGCAACGCTGTGTGCATGAAACTTGAACGTGCTTTGCTCGACTGGATCGCAGTTAGCAGTCGTCTGTGTGCGGTTCGGTTCAATAGTTATTGTGGTGATTCTATGGTAGTTCAGCACTAAAAGTTTAGTCCAAGACAAAGTTCATTTTATCCGGCATGTGATCGATAGCAACAAGTTAATTTTCACACAGTCAACGTTATGTGAACACGGTTCATTCCACTTCAGACTTTGAACACATAACATGCTCATCGACTGTGAGAGTCCACACATTTGACCGAACTCTGTCAACTTACGACATTCGAGCAACTTATGATGACTACTTCCGCGATTGCATTCCGAATGCTACTTGCCTATGCGTTTCTCCATATTTGTATTACCTGAAAAACGCCATAATTTGCATGCTTATTGAACAATACATTTCTGTGCCAATTGATGTGATTTCTAATTTCATTTCATGCGATTCGGTGGTCACAGTTCTGTTCTTGTCAACAGCAAAAGACTAAAGTGTCGATGTTGGTCGTTTCTGTGTACGCCCCAACTAGCTATAACTCCCCGAAGGCTAAAGAGCAATTCTACCAAGATTTGTCTCAACTGCTCGGCAGCATGCGCGTTCAGGACTTACTGGTTGTTTCTGGCAAATTTTAGAACCCGGGAAGACCATCCCAGGCCTTCCATCTCTGTTCTTCCTAATCTGAATGCGGCGGTCGACAGCACGGTTCTTTGTTGCTAAGCCTTGTTCACCGAAACCAGAGAAATCCGTTACAATTGCAAAATCCCTGTACACGAACAGCCGAATCCGAGTTTGGGCTTATTATGATTCCTCAACTTAACACGAACAGTGGTGTACGCAAGGGTTCTCTGTTCGGTTCTATTCCCTCTGACGATGTGATCGATATGGTCCTAGTGATTGCACTCTTTCTGTGTTATGATAGCGGTACTGTTGATGTCCCGTGTGGAAAAGTGTCAGATAGGGAGTATGTGTAGCGAAGATCTGGAAAAGTTGAAATCATTTCTTGACAGTTGTAACGGCTGCATAGCAATGTCTGGTATGCATTTCGCACCTTGAAAGTGAAGGACGCAGTTCCAGGACTGCTTTCGTCCAGTACCAAGCGTTTCGATATCTGGGGTTACCATAGAGCAAGTAGACAAGTTCTGTTATCCAAGCAGCTGCATTTCACCCGAAGGTTGGGTATCGGATGAATTATCTCATATACGGAAAGCCAGTTTCTTACTTGCCAGTCCGTGGCGTCGATTTGATATTCGCTTAGCTATCAAAGGTTTCATGTACGCCGGGGTAGCCAGGCCAGTTATTATGTATGGCCCAGATACATGATCACTTCAGGGGGAGGATATACAAAGATTAACATTTATTCGAACACTGATTCCTTCGTAACACTTCTGGAATCTGTTGGTTACCTCGTATCGGCAATGCAGAGGTTAGGCGCAGAGTACTAGGCACACAAATCAAGGTATTAGATGAGAAACTAAAAGCCTCTAGGCTGAGGTGTTCGGATAGGATTCCTCGGTATGCAATGTTGGTTGAGGTGGGTAATGGTTAGGACATGGGTAAAAGTAGTTCGTCCATGACTTGGGAAAAGCAATGAACTGCCTAACCAATGGACTGGGCTTTGTAAGGTGTGTTAGGCTTCCTGAGTTTGGTCCGAGATCCTCCCACTCACCAGTTAGATTCCTTGGAGGATACGGCTCGATGTAACAATCTATGATGATATTGCGAGTTTTCTTTGTCGAGTTGATACTGTTTATATTTTTTTCTTTCCGTGCTTTTTTCATTTTCAAATGGGTTGCTGTTGAGAGATAGCAACTAAACCACCGCACTCAGTGCATGAGTAATGGCTGGATGAACTGAACCCTATTTTCAGTATTACTGCACTAGTTTTGTTGTGGTTTTCTCCCGATTGAGGCTGCCGCTGAGCAGTAGCAACCAAAGTCGTTGCAACCGGTGCATGATTACTGGTTGTTTGAACAGAACTGAAACTGGAAATAACAGTATTGAGTGAAAACAAACTGAGGACTGTGTAGTCAGGTGATTGGAAAATGTATGCACAAAACGAACTCATATGTTTAAGGTTCCGTTTGGAGTTCATCGAACACCAGAACTGAGTGCGACGGCCATGCCATGATCATGATGGTCTGGCCTTGGTATTTCGTTCCTCAGTTACGCAATCGACTCGGTGCACGTTATGCCTTCGAGAAGTGAACGAACAACCGTTTATTCTACCCGTCATAACACCATAAGGATTAGAAGTCATCTACGACTCAGGCCATTGCACTTTAAAATCGAAAGATATTCTCACTTGCCACTACGTTTGTATGCGTGAAAAGCTTATTTAGACGCACTTCGATAACCGCGGTTCGTTGTGACTAGCACACAATGAACTCCGTTACCAATATATGAGAGGACAGAAAAGTGGGTCTATAGTTGGTTCATCGTCTTTGAGTACTCCCGACACGGATTGATGATAGGAAGTGACGGTTTGGGCGGGTGTAATAGGGTAAACGTGTTTGTGGGTGCATGTGTGCGCTAGCTACAATACACACAGTGGTGAGATCATCTCAACGCTAGTCGGACGAAACCAGTCATCGGAGGACTTGAATGGACCGGAATGCGCGAGTGCGTATGACCAGAAAACGATTTGACGCTTGAACGTGAATGGGTTCAGTAACCCCACATTGAATAACGCGACGGCATTGCTAATGTGGACAGAGTCGTTAGATGAACAGCGAATGCAGGAAAAGGTTTTTGGGGTGTGCCACTCGCTAATAATAAAGGGGTCCTTGAAAATCTACCAATAGTGATTTGGAGGCATGGTATCATGTCAGAATAAGAGTGACTAGAATTTCTGCTTCCAAGTTGTAGCTTGTGCAATCAACCGGTATTCTCCGTTGGTTGTAATTACCAATCAGGGAACTCATGTGATTCAAGTTTGTGAGGCGCCAAATGGCGATCTGTGGGGAATTTATCAGTTTTGGAAATACTGCTGCGTATTGGCATTAGAAAATGAAGGTTCCGGCGGGAGAAGTTGAGATAGCAATGATGTACATCCCTAGTCATCGTATGATCAGATCATACCTAGATGAGGGTGGCGGTATACTGTACCGTATTCCATTGATGGAGGCGGCTACGATAAACGGGTTCATGTCATGGCAACACGGTCGCTGTCCTGGTAACTCTAACTCGAGTTTGGTCCTTTTGAGTGCAAGGTTGGTCGGACAACCAGAGGTCTCCACATTGAAGGTGGAGTCCAAAATACATTCAGTCTAGCAATGAATAATGAAATAGTTGAACTTCACGATCTGCGGAATACAATGTCGTGGCGTGCGCAAAAATACATGCAGCGCTCTACATAGGCGTCTAGCCAATCAATTCCTCCTCCAAGATGAGCATGACTTTATTATTTACTCTGTGATATTTGCTCCAGTTAAATGAGAAATCCAACCTCCTAAAGACGTACACATTGTACGGTGCATCTTTTGCCACAACTCGTTCCACTTCTTTGATAGCATCACAAAGTACATTTATCCCAAGGACACACCGACGCGTTGTAAAGATCGAATAACTTTTTTGACATTCATAACAAATTGTGAAAGTTTCGTGACGTTTCCCAATGATTAGTTTCACGCATTTCCCTAAGGTTTCGCTGAAATCTGTCAATTGACCACGGGCGGTGGTTTGTATTATCTGATCTGTCCTCGCATACGTTGATGAATAATTCGGAGTCTTCGTATTTCACTTGATTGTACCGATTCAACTTGTGACCCGATCACGTTTGTGTAGATTCTTGGTGGATGAAAATATTTACTAGAAGTGCCAAAGCATCCCATTTTAAGCAATAGTACGACTGACTTAAAGTGATGCTTCATAGTTACTCATCGGTTAACTGTTCATCCGGGACACAACCGTTATCATGATTCCCACCAAACTTGGGTCCGAAGAGGAATAAGGATGAAGAACAATTATCGTATCAGACACAACAGCAACCTGTTTCATTCATAATTTTCGTTTACCGAAATCCAATTGGTGTTTGCTTACTAGTCCTCATCAATCGAATGCACATGTCGACTGAGGGTTTTATCGAGCACAAAGCATAAAGCCACTGAATACATACTTTGTGAAACCTCCATCAGTAGAAATGCATTAGAGCTTGGAAGTTTGTTACATCACATCATTCGACCCCTCATTGTCACACATTGCGTCTCCGGGCACAATCAATTTCGAGATACGAAATCGACAAACGAGACTGCACAAGACCACACA